TGGCTCGGCCTCAGGTGCCCGTCGGGCAGGTATGTCACCTGCCTGTCACCTCTTCCCTAGGAGACCACTGCATAATCTCTCTTCAAAACCAGAGGACCTGTGCTTGGAGRCAGGAAGGGGCTTTGGCAGTGCCAGGGGTGGTGGAGGTGGCCTGTGCAGTGTGGCTGGGGACTGTGCTCCTGTGCTGTGGCGGAGCCTCAGCCAGCGCCTTCCTCCACGCCATGACTGGGCCTGGGGAGACTGAGGCAGAGAAGTGACCACACAGTCAGGGTGGCACCACCTGCCCCGCTGCCTCAGGTGAGAGTGTGGCGGTGACGGACAGCTGCCCTCTCAGGAGCGGTCAGGCCAGAGGACAGACAGGAGCTGGGCCGTTGGTGTCTCCAGGAAGAACGGTGGCTGTTGGGACATCTGGTCCAGAGGCCCTGCTCTGCCCTGGTCTGTTTGAGGAACAGGAAGAAGTGGYGTTGAAGGCTGGGGACAGCTCTGGAACCACAGGGCAGAGGTGTCACCTCCTGCAGGGTGGTCTAAGTTCAGTGGATGTCTGAGGGTCCTGGTTCCCTGATCTCAGGCTGCAGCAGATGACCCAAGGTGGGAGGGGCTTCCAGGGAAGGTAGGTAAGGAGGTGGCCCGGAGCAGCAGGAGATGGCAGCAGGGAGACACAGGGGGCTGGAAGCTTGGCCAGGTGAGCTGGGCTCTCAGGAAGGGGGTGCTGCCTGCCCGAGAGACGAGGGAGCAGCAAGCCACCCAGGGCTCCGTGGGGTGCAGCCTGGGAGCTGGCGGCAGCACTTGGAGGCGTCCTGATTCTGCTCTGGAAGGGAGGGGTCCCCTGGGGGGGAGCTGSGGACCCGGGCTGGGGAGGCTCAGCCTGCCTGGAGGGATGCTGTGGTTTCCTCCTGAATAAGAGGCCGGGTTCGTGGCCAAGAGGGGGGCTAGGGGGCAGGAAGGCCCACTTCKGGGAGTCAGAAGGAACTGGGAGAGCGAGGCTGAGTGGCGGCTCCCGGCAGCACCCACAGGGTCTGTGGTCCTGAATCCTGCAGAGTACCTTCTACAGGGACGTRTCTTTCTCTAGAATGTTCTGCATCTTGGGCACAGGCCTCAGTGGGGGGAGAGGAGGGCTCTGCATGGAGTGACAGAGGGAGGGGCTGAGGATCCACTGCCACCTGGGAACCTCAGGGGGATAAGGGGGAAGCCAAGACCTGGGGGGAGGGGAGGGGAGGGTAGGGTCTCTGGAGGCTGGGGGCAGGGTTCGAGTGGGCCCGTGGGAAGGCAGGTGTGGGACCCTGTAAGACAGAGTGGTGCGACTGGGGAGCGCTGGATGCAGGCGGTGGGCCGCCAGGTGCCTGGGTTTAGGGTGGAGAACCTCCAGATGTGTCATTGTCACAGACTTGAAACCTGGGAGCACTGTGAGGGGATGGGGGGAGGGTCCTGGGCAGCCTCTGAGTGAGAGTGAGGGGCGGCCGGGGCAGGGCCTGGCGGGTGGCTTGCTTTACAACCTGAAGAGGTGAGACCAGCATGTCCCAGCCTGTGGCAGGTGAGGTCAGAGGACCCACCAGGGCCACTGTAGGTCTTGCCTTTACTCCCGGCCACAGGAGAGTCACAGGGCAGAGATGTGAGACGAGAAGTGAGATTTGTGGCAGGACCCTGGGCTGGTGGGACAGATGGATGGACTCATCCATCCAGACAGGTGACTGCGGGCTGCCTGTGGGTCAGCCGGCATGTCCTTGACCTGAGAGGCAACAGGGTGTGCTGGCACCTGGGATGTAGGGTGTGATGGGCAGGGAGGAGYCAGGAGCCCCACGGTCAGGAGGACGGAGGTGCCCACAGCCCTGGGGAGGGCGGTGGAGTTCCTGGGGGTGGGTGATGGGCAGCCTGGAGACCGGAGCCTGCGGCACAGCGAAGCCCTGCAGGAGAGAGACTGCGGTGGAACTGGGGCGCCATCCACATTTAAATGTTTCTTTCTCCTTTTTAAAAATTCTTGAGGCAAAATCCACATATGATAAAATTAACCGTTTAAAAGTGAAAACTCRGTGGCATTTAGAACATTCACAGTGTTGTGCAACCACCACCTCTAGCTGGTTCCAAAAATATGGCTTTCACAGATGATTTGCAGAGGAGGGAGCCCAGGCCTTGCCCTGGGTGGGAGTCGCAGTGGGGCAGGCAGAGGCCGTGGGAGGCAGAAGCTGTGGGAGGCAGAGGCCGTGGGAGCCCATCGGAGCAGCTGCKGTGGTGGGATGGAGAGAGGGACTGTGGCAAACTGTGGGGGGTGTCTCATGGGAGTGACCCAGGAGGCCAGGTGGGTGCTGCCTTTGTGGGAGAAGGGCTGAGGGCTGAGCGAGKTGGGGAGGGGTGCAAACCCCTCGCCCACCCAGGGCCCAGATGTTCACTGGTGCCACTGTGTCCAAGGTGTCCCTTTGCCACTGGAATCTGCCAGGGCCCTGAAGCAACATGTCTTGTGGATTCCAGCAGGGAGTGGAGGATGGGCAAAATGACAGACACCTGGTGACATGGAGTGTTGGAGCAGGTGCCAYCACACAGGCCGGAAGGTGGAGCCTTGAGGAGCCTGTGTCTCAGTGCAGGGTGGGGTGCTGTGGATTGGGGGACAGCTATGCACACCCCCCATATGGGCCCTACTGTCTAAGACCCCTAGAGACCACTGTCAAGGGTGGTAGGCGCCWGAACCCCTCCCCTGAGGCTGGCCCTGAGGAGCTTGGCTCTCACCTGAGCTGCCCATCTGCCCCGCCCAGAGCCAGGTGGACTCACTGTCACACAGTGCTAACCTGTGAGTTAGCAGTGGAAAGGACAAAGTTCTCCAGACCAAGGCCACCAGGCTAGGCCACACCAGTTTCCAGCCACAGGGTCCTCTGCACCCCCTTTCCACACTGCCTGGGCCCCAGCCAAGGACACACCTGCTCCACCCAGCTCAGCCCCAAGATGTGCCTCACCTGCCCGGGTGCCTCAGACCAGTTCCCGGAAATGGTGAGGGGCTGAGTCACCTCAGGGAGAGGCAGGGCCAGGGGGTCAGAGGGAGGGTGGATGGAGCTGGGAGGAGGGGAGCTGGGGGGAGCCGGCAGTGGGGTCACAGCACGGCTTCCCCCACCAAGGCCAGGAGCACAGGGTGACCAGGGTCTCTCACAGCACCTGGAGACCCGGGCCACCCTGGGTCTGGGAGGGGTCCCTGAAGACCGTGRGTGCATGGTAGGGGGCCCATCTTCTGGGATAGGGGGGCTCAGAGATGCACCAGTTCTGTTTGAAGTTCATCTCTGCTGGGATGGAGCTGACACCCACCACACACCCACCTTAGACGCAGAGTTGGAAAAAGTGACCACAGTCACACTTCAGGTACGGGACATTTTCTCATTCCCAGAATGTCCTCAGGACCCTTCTCAGCCAGCCCTGCCCCCGGGGACTGAGGGTGCTGGGCATCTTTCTTGCGTCTTGGTAGAGTGTGTTGAGGTCTTTTGCCCACTTTTTGATTGGGTGGTTTTCCTATCACTGAGCTTGAATAGTTCTTTATCGGCTTTGCATACAAATTGTTTTATCAGATAAATGATCTGCAAATATTTTTTTTTTTTCTGGTGTGGCCTGACTTCTTCAACAGTGGCTTTCAAAGAGCAGATTAAAAAAAAAAAAAAGTTCTGGGCTGGGTTTGGTGGTGCACACCTGTAATCTTAGTGGCTTTGGGGGCTGTGGCAGGAATATCAAAAGTTCAAGGCCAACCTTAGCAACTTAGTGAGGCCCTAAGGAACTTATCAAGAACCTGTCTCAAAATAAAAAAAAATTAAAAAGGCCTGGGGATGTAGCTTAATGGTTAAGTACCCCTAAGTTTAATCCCTGGTGCCAAATAAATAAATAAATAATCAAAAATTAAAAAAAAATTCTCATCAAGCCATTTTATCCCCTCCCACCCCTCAATTCTGATTTTGGTGCTGTATCTAAGAAAATCTTASTGCCTAACCCAAGATCACAGAAAAATTTCTTCTGTGTTGTATTTTGGAAGTTTTATAGTTTGGGGGTTTACATTTAGCACTAGGAGGCAATTGGAGTTATATCTTGTATATRGTGTGCTGGAGATTGAAGTTTATTGTTTTGCAGATGATATCTAGCTGGTGGGAAAGTATTCTTTTTCTACTGATTTTCATTGATATCTTTGTCARTAATTAAATGTCTGCCTAGGGGTGGGTCTGTTTTTTGGATTCACTGTTCTGAACCATTGATCTACTTATCCATTTTCATGTCAATGCCACACTGTCCTGATAATTGTCATTTTTCAGGGTTTTTTTAATATTTATTTTTTAGTTGTAGTTGGACACAATATCTTTATTTTATTTATTTATTTTTATGTGGTGCTGAGGATCGAACCCAGGGCCTCACACGTGCTAGGCGAGCGCTCTATCGCTGAGCCACAATCCCAGCCCTGATAATTGTCATTTGATCACAGGTTCTGAAAACATGTGGTGTTCTCCATCTTCGTCCTTTTTCTAAGCCATTTTCACAATTCTGTCTTGCATTTTAGAACCAGCTTAAGTTCTGCTTTTAAAGCACTGTTAGAAATCGGATAGGTCTGCATTCAACTTATAGATTAATTAATTAATTAATTTTGGGGGGTACCAGGTATTAAACCCAGGGGTGCTTTACCACTGAGCTACATCCCTTGCCCTTTTTTATGTTTTATCTTGGGACAGGGTCTCACAAAGTTCCTTAGGGCCTCTCTGAATTGCTGAGGCTGGCCTAGAACTTGAGATCCTCCTGCCTCAGCCTCCTGAGTTGCTGGGATCACAGGTGTGTGMCACCAGGCCCAGCTGAACCGAMAGATTAATTTGGAGAAAGTCTGTGTGTCATGCAAGCAGGCTCTCCCTTCATATCTATAGATCCTCTTTAATTTCTCTGAGCAGTATTTTTCAGTTTTCTGTGTACTATGTTTCGTCATCTTTTGTCCTCTATCCCTAGGCCTTTCATGTATTTTGTGATTATAAGTGGTGTTTCAAAAACTTCAATTTTGGTGTCCCCCTTTCACTTTGCCAAATGGACTGATGTCTTTATTGGTCATTCAAGAGGGGCAAAGGAAATGTCCTCTTAAAACTCAGGCAGATGAAGTGTGTGCCACGTAACCTGTCAGAGGAAGCAGATTGAAATAGATTTCCTGGAAGGTCTTACACAATCTGATATTAAAGCAGTTCTACTTTTATAGCATAAAAAGTGAATGAAGTTTTAAATTATACTAGCGATTTGATTTGGTTTGTCTAGTGGTTCAGAGGTTGTCACCTCATCAGAAGAATAGCTGTAAAGTAGGGGTGTAGAGAGGGAAAAGAGGACAGGTGGAGGAAGGAGACTAGGTGAGAGAGGTGGCGGGGCACCCAGGACTGATTGGAGTAAATCAAATCCCATACAAGTATGACTTTGTCAAAAGAACCCAACTGTTATGACTATAATGCACTAATAAAAGAAAGCAGCAAAGGGTTGTTGACTTCAAGGCCTCTTCCAATTAGATTAATAATTGAAAAACGAATCAAGCCATCATAGCCTTGTGGGGTTATTCTGAGTAAATGATTCATGATTTATATAATAAATGGAGCTGTCAAAACCGTTTTCTGCATTGCTGTTGTGTTTTTGATGAGACACTTATGAGAATTAAAAAAAAAATCAATTTTGAGGGTTGGAGTTGTGGCTCAGTGGTAGAGCACTTGCCTAGCMTGGGTGAGGCACTGGGTTCAATTCTCAGCACCACATGTAAATACATAAAATAAAGGTCCATGAACAACTAGAAAAAAAGATAGTTAATATATTTCATTTTCGGATTGCTTATTGTTAGTATATGGAACTACAGTGATTTTTGTATGTTTTTCTTGTGTTCCGAAACCTTCCTAGAACACTTATTAGTTCTAAGGATTTTTAAAATAGAGTCCACTGGATTCTTTACATAGATGATTATGTTGTCTGTGAATAAAGACCATTTTATATCTCTCCCTTCTCAACCTAGATGCTTGTTATTTATTTTTCTTTTTTGTATTATTATTATTATTATTATTATTTGATGGTGCTGGGGATGAACGCAGAGCCTAGTGCATGTGAGGCAAGCACTCTACCAACTGAGCTATATCCCTAGTCCTCTTTTTTGCCTCATTGCACTGATTAGAACCTTCAGTTCAATGTTGAATAGTGTGGTCTTGTTTGTTTTTTAAAAAATATATTTAGTTGTCAATGAGTATTTATTTATTTATTTGTTTATTTTTATTTTTATGTGGTGCTGAGAATCGAACGCAATGCCTCACACATGCCAGGCAAGTGCTCTGCCACTGAGCCACAACCCCAGCCCAGTCTTGTTTTATTAT